CCATGAAATGAAATGCCAGTATCGCTTGCTCTCATGACACGGTGGTGTTAAAAATGCATAATATAAAAATATAATGAAATTCAGCACTGTTGCGCACCGAAGCATCCAGGTCTGAGGTCTGACCTCTCTTTGTTAAAAAGGGAAAATAGGAAGTGTTGACACCATGATAAAGATAGTCCAGCCCCACACTGCGCCAGCCTGAGACTCTGAGGAATTGAACGGGAATCGGGGAAGGAATAAGATTGGATGTTATTTAGCTCCCAGTCTGTGAATTACCTAAAGACCCCCAGTGCCACCAGTCAACATACTTCACCCCAGAACAGAAGGAAGGAGCAGAGCGGTGGGCAGTGCTTTGGGGCCAGCTGTACTACGGTCTCTGAAGAGCGACCGTGTGCTGTGTTAGGGCTAGAACCAGGTTTGGCCATTTGTGTTGACCCTGCAGATTCTATGAAGGGGTGACTTCCACAATCCCTAGCACAGTGGGGAGCACACAGCAGATAGTTATCAAGAGTCTTAAATTTTTAAGTCTCATTGATGCCCTAAAATATTTTGCCTGCTTCATAAAAAGTAGAAAATGAACTTGACAGTGATTCTTTGTATCTCATAATATCACATCCCCCTCCCCAAAAGGGAATATTGATAGAAAACTAAAAGATATAAAAACCTAACAAAAATCATCTGGTGAATAGATCCCATGGAATACACAAGAAGACGACATAGGTGTATTTGAATAATCTCAAAGGAAAATAAGAAATCTCCTTCGATAAGTCACATCTAAATGCTTATCCAGACTGGGCACAGTGGCTCATGCCTGTAATCCCAGCACTGTGGGAGGCCGAGGTAGGTGGATCGCTTGAGCCTAGGAGTTTGGGACCAACTTGGGTAACATGACAAAACCCCGCCTCTACAAAAAATACTAAAAACAATTAGTCCAGCATGGTAGCACACGAGTATGGTTCCAGCAACATAAGAGGCTTGAGGTGGAAGGATCACTTGAGCCCAGGAGGTCGAGGCTGCAGTGAGCTGAGATTGTGCCTTGCACTGCAGCCTGGATGACAGACCAAGAACCTGTCTCATAATAAATAAATAAATCCCTGTCCAAATAAATAAATGCTTGTCCAATTGCTGAAAAGGAGCTCAAGCATGTACACAAGGCCCCAAGCACAGCTCTGCCCTCCGTGGAACTGGCTTTATCCTCCTTGTGTTTCCTGCTCAGGCGCCCTTTTCTCTTTCATCTCTCACAACCCTCCTGCCTCTCGCTTGGCATTCAGTAAGTGAACAAGGAGCGGGAAAGCATGCTAATGCATCGCAAATGGAGGTGCTGCATTTCCTTAAAAGGACTGTCAGGAGCATTTCATTTTAACGTGTTACCCGGAATTGTGTCAGTGTTTTAAGTGGGCTATTTTCTATAACCCATATCATTATGAATATAAGACATTAAAGTACTGATTGCCACTTGAGAATCTAATTTTAAAGTGATTGTACTGCGTTTCTAAAATTTGCATTTTTAAAGCAAGTTTCCCCCACAAATAACACCTTACCCAAGATACCTCCAGGCAGAACATTGTTTCTTACAGTAAATATTTTAATATTTGATTTCAGTGGAGACCAGTCTAATCAATTATAGAGTAACATAATTTACTTGTAATAAATTCAAAAGTGATGGCTATACTATCATTTATAGATGTTCTTAAGGAATATGGAATCTTATTCCAGACAGGCATTTCTGTAACTTTCTGGTGCTTTAAATGATGCTAATGAAGATTTGACATCAGTTCACCACATTTTTGAAAATCAAATTGTTGGCTCAACCTCTAATGAAACACGATCTCAAAGCAGTTTTAACAACCATTTACCTTTTTTCTAAAACCCTCACTCTACCATTTCTATGGGGTTCCTGACTAATGAAAAGTCTATATGAATATAAAACATAATATAGTCTATTTTTCAAAGAGAAATTGAGACTAATGCAAAATATTTGAGTTCTGCTTTTTTATATGAAACATAAATGTTTATTCATTGGCAAAGCCTTAACTTCTCTAAGCCTCAGTCTCCTCATCTGTCACTTGGGGGACAATCCTATTTAGCTCAGAGGGGTGCCAGGAGACTTAATGGGATACTGCATAATAAGTACTAAGCACAGTTCCCTCCCCCCCCCACCACCACATGTACTGCCCTTGGTCTGTGCTCTAATATTGAAGCAGGATATTTCCCTGACCCATTTGCGGGACTTGCAACAGGGGTGCCCTCAATTACCCAGCCCACAGCTTTCAACCCCTCATGGGAGGAAGCATGCATGCGAATGAGGCAGGAATTGGTGTACACGAATGCTGGAACCAGCCAGCCACTTAGGCACTGCCAGGAGCAAACGCCACTCACTTGGCCCCACTGTGCTCCACCCCTTGTGGGGGGAAGCACATGGGTGAGTGGGTGCAGAAGCCAGGGTGAACGCTTTTGAGCGTCAACAGGAATGAACTCCGTAGGCTCCGTGGCAACATCTAGGGGTGGTGCCTGCAACCCCTGAAGCCCCAGAGGGCATGTTACAGTGCTTTTAGCTCTGCTGTCCCCAGACGGCCTAAGTCAGTGGTCCCTCTGCCTTTTCACGTGAGGCAGCTGCCTTCTGCCAGTGAGGACAAACAGCAAGTGTGACAGCCTTTTGTATCCACACTAGCAGCGCCCAAGCTCTTGTCCTGCATCCAGGAGAAATGACGTCACACAAACAAATTGAAGGATGATAAAATTGTGGGGGATTTGATTGCCAATGAAAGTGGCTCTCAGCAGGAAGGGAAGGTGAAAAGGGGATGGAGAGAGAAGGTAATCTTCTCCTGAAATCCAGCCATCTCTGGCTAGATTCTTCTCTGATGTTACATGTCAAGTTGTCCTTCTGAAGTCAAGCTGCTTCTCTCCAACTTCCAACCGTAGTCGCCAACGTCCAGCTGCTTCTCTTCTCTCTGCCAGCTGAGTATGGGGTTTTTATAGGCACAAGATTCAGTGGGGCAGGGCCATGGGTGGTTTTGGAAAAGGCAACATTTGAGCCAGAAAACAGGGATATAAGTTCTCACTTTGGGCTGCAGTTTCTGGCTTGAGGGTGAGGGTTTGACAGGGACTCGCCCCTTTCTGCCTAGATTTTCTCTGCCACCTTTCTCTACCGTTGTATCAATATTATTATCACATAGCCCTGAGTTGGAACCATCAGGTCCTGCAAACTCCAGAGCATCTACTGCACTTTGGCCCCCCAGGGGAATTGGTCCCAGCCAAGGGTCTCTAGGAAAGGGGCACATCAACTAGATGTGGAACACACTCCAGTTTGGGAAATACTGGTTCTGCCCTCCAGGGCATCAGAATCCTCCTTTTGGTGACCCTGCTGCCTCATAGGAAAGAAACAACAGTTGAAACACTGGGAATTTTCCCCGAAAGGGAGAAGGCCCAGAAAGGAGAAAAGCTAAAGAGAGTGAAAGAGCCCTAAAGAGAATGGAAACGTGAGAGCAGGTCATTCGCCAGGGCTCATTCCTGCCATCCAGCCCCAGCTTCTGCTGCTCAGTGGACGCTTCTGCCAGTGCTCGCAGCCCCACAGGCCTGGGCCTGGACGCCTCTGCTGCCACCCATGATCTCTCCCTGCTCCACCATCGGAACCCCACGCCGCAGGCTCCCTCCCTGGAGGCCACCTCAGAAGGAGACACCGAGGGGAAGACAGCTCTTTAAGAAGTGTGGACTCCATGTTAAATTGGGACCCCGCAGATAGATACGGCTTTGAAACGATTGATTTTCTGTGGTGTCCATAGGGAAACCTGCCCTCCTCAAAGTTGTGAAAACTGTCAGGGACCCTATGACATGGAGCCGGAGTCAGAAGTTTTCTACCCAGATCTCTAACAGAGGAGATAAAACGAACACTGGTTCACGATAGATAACAGAACGGCTTCAGCAAACGGCAAGCAAGTGAACAAAGATGCTGGAGAAGAACAAGGCGCCTTATCCACGTCCCCCACAGCACCCTGCCTCAGGCCTGGGGCAAAAGAATCTTCCTGTGAGCCCAGGGAGTCGGCAGGGACATGAGGGGTTAACGCAGCACTTGCTCAGAGCAATTGCGACACTGCCGCTGGAATTATCCTTTTCACACGGTTCCCAGTAGTGGTTAAAAGGCTCTGAGGTCAGTCCACCTGGCCCACTAGCTAAGGGCTCTTAAGCATTTAAGGACCTTTTCAACATTTGTTTCTGTTAGAAACTTGGGACAGAGGGCCAAAAGACATTGATTCAACTGGTATAACAATGTGTGGGTACATTGCCCTTGGTACCTTGGAAATGCCTCTACTCAGTGTCACCTCTGAGCTGAGTTAGTTTGGGAAGATGTTGAGCCTACAGGTGGCGGGGAGATGGTGAGATTCTTCAAGGCATGTGTATGTTTGTGATTGGGTTGGGAAAGTTTCCTGACTGCCAAAACCTCCATCAGACTCTAGCAGGGATTCTGTAAATCTCAGAATTCCAAGGGGATTGGATTTTGAAGAAAGGAGATGTTCACGTACAGGCTGCTGGAATTCTTGTTCATTTTTTTGTTTGTTTTGTTTTAAGATTTCTGAAGAAGAAAATAAGTAAGGGATATAAAACAGAACCATAGTTTGCCAGGAGGGCAGAGCAGGGCTGTTTCATTCAATTTGTTAAGAGGGTCAGGGAAGCATCAGAAAAGATGAGAAAAATCAATCAGGACCAAGTCACTGTGGTGAGCTTCAGCAGCATCTGAAGTAGCCGGAAGGTACTGAGAAATGTATTTTATCGCATATAGTCTTATTTCCACCCTACCATATTCTCTGTTAACACAAGGTTCCTTGAAAGTCAAGTCTGCAGCCCTAAGTCTTATTGACTCATTAATATTTCACCTAAAACAATGTAACATCTTAAACTGAAACCTAAATGTAAGATTTGGACACAAGCATTCAAAGACAGGTGTGTTGTACAGCTGGACTATGGTCAGTCGCATTACATTTTCATTTCTTTTTTTCTTTTAGAAACAGGGAAAATTGACCAAGAGATTCACAAATACAATACCCCAGGATTCACTGGTTGCCTCTCCAGAGTCCAGTTCAACCAGATCGCCCCTCTCAAGGCTGCCTTGAGGCAGACAAACGCCTCGGCTCACGTCCACATCCAGGGCGAGCTGGTGGAGTCCAACTGCGGAGCCTCGCCGCTGACCCTCTCCCCCATGTCGTCTGCCACCGACCCCTGGCACCTGGATCACTTGGATTCAGGTAAAGTCTCCAGCAACCTCGGGCACATTGCTTCATTTCTTTAAACCTCGGTCTCTTGGGACTATGGAATGGATTTAATAACAGAACCTCACTGGTAATGTCACTGGAGGATTAAGAAAGGTCAAAGGAATGTTGTGAGTATGGAGTTCTCAGGGCAGCACATCTGAAGTACTCAGGGCCAGAAATAAATAAGGTGAAGGTAAAGAATGTAGGAACTATTAACTCTTCAATTAGGTTAAATGATGACTTGCCTAAACTGATGTCTGCGCCATGACTGTGGGTGATTTGATCAATTCACTTTCTCACTTTTGCCTCTTATGACTCTCAATGACTTGCTGTAACATAGTCTGTGTTTTAATTTAAGAAGAGATTTACCTAAAGCAATATAGAGATCCATCTCCTGGCTCTGTATTGACATGAATAATACTGTAGGCTTCCAGATCTTTAAGAGGTACCTTTAAGCTTGCAAAACTCTATGGATTTAGTCCCACTTCTTTGAGTGGTAAGACATGTAATTTGAAAGCACAGGGCTCAAATGAAAGGATGTAGCTGTTGGCTGAAAAATTAATTGGATGAAAGAGTATACACATAACCCTGGGTGGCAGACAGCCTATCAAGCTGTATCTCAGGAGACTTAGGTCATACTCCTAGCTCCACCTACATTGGCCTTGGGCAACTCAAGTGAGCTGTCCAGGTCTCTGCTTTTTCACCCATAAGGTGAAGAAGGGGAGGGGAGTGTAACCTCTAAGTGACCTCCAAATCCAGCTTTCAGTGGGTCTCCAGGCAACATGTGATGTTGCTGATGCTAAAAACAGGAAGATGAGGCACGAAGCAACGGCTAGGAGGCCTGGATTCCAGCACCATCCCTGCCTCTCACCAGCAGATTAACCTTGGGCAGTTTTCATAACCTCATTCCTCAGTTTCCCCATTTCCTAAATGGAGATAAGACCTAACTCATGGAATTCTATTTAAAGTGATGTGTTTAAATCTGATGTGTTTAATCACAGCATGTAGCAAGTGTTAAAGTTTAGCTACAATAATATTAATAATAATTATGGTTGTTATTATATTAGATCCATTTTGCTATAATGCTTGAACCTTGAGTAAGGACTTTGGAATCCTCTCCCCCTACAAACTTGTAACAGTTCATTCTCTAAACCTTGTGCATTTGATTGCTTTAATCATGTTCCGGCCCCGCACATGGTGTGTGTGGCTTCAGATCAGCTACTGTCATCGTGATTCCTTGCCAGGGTTGTGCTGCAAAGCTTTGTGAAGCTTAGAGAGAAGCCAAAATTGCCCTGTTGTCAGAATAGCCCATTTACAGACGAAACAATCCTCTTTGTTCCTCACACATGGATTCCTAGAACTGACGCGGGGTGCTGTGTGCCAAGGGCACATATGAAGAATTCCCTTTTATGAATGTTGTTAAGATGACACAGCAGGCTGGCTTTTCCTCATGGGCTGGCCTGAACGAAGGAAAGCATTCCTAATGCTGAAAGAAGAAAAGTAAGAGTGAAAATACAAGAGGAGAAAAGACATGTCAGGGCCACAGAGGAACAGAGATCTCTCAGATAAATTCCTCTGAATGCCCAAGTAGACAAATACCATGAATGATCTTGGCAATGCAGGAGTCCTTCCGCTGTCAAAGGGACCTACTACCTGAGGCTGTGAGCACCTGTGGTCTAAGTCAGGGCCAAGAGACTAGTTTCTAAAACCTCTAGATCCTACCTTGGGCCAATATGAGTTCCTATCTATTATTACTTAATTAGGAACTTGTTTGTTAAGATCTGTGAGATAAGATCTTATCTATTTTGTTAAGAGTTTTAGTTCCTTTATTTTTAAAAAATCATGCTTTGTGGGTGATAGTTTAGAAAGTCTTGCCCAGTTGCCCAGGGTGGAGTACAATGGCACCATCTCAGCTCACTGCAACCTCCTCCTCCCGGGTTCAAGCAATTCTCCTGCCTCAGCCTTCTGAGTAGCCGGGATTACAGGCACCCCCCATCATGCCCAGTTAATTTTTGTAGAGGCAGGATTTCACCATGTTGGACAGACTGGTCTTGAACTCCTAACCTCAGGTGATCCACCTGCCTTGGCCTCCCAAAGTGGTGGGATTACAGGATTCTTGTGATTGATTTATGAAAATGTATACAGGGAACATATCTGTTAGTATTTGATGTTCAAGTCCAAATTCTGTAACTCTGGTATTACAGTAGGCCTGTGCTATGTAACATGAGATCCATTTGCAGAAAAATTTCCACTTATACTTGGAGAGTTCTTACCCAGTGTCCAGCAGGTGAAGTATTAATCCAATTGTCATTACACCAATTACAAGGACAGAAAACAGTTGACCGGGTTCAGTGGCTCACATCTGTAATGCCAGCATTTTGGGAGGCTGAGGTAGGTGGATCACGAGGTCAGGAGTTCAAGACCAGCCTGACCAACATGGTGAAATCCTGTCTCTACTAAAAATACAAAAATTAGCTGGGCATAGTGGCACATGCCTGTAATCCCAGCTACTCAGGAGTCTGAGGCAGGATAATTGCTTGAACCTGGGAGGCAGAGGTTACATTGAGCTGAGATGGTGCCACTGCACTCCAGCCTGAGTGACAGAGCAAGACTCTGTCTCAAAACAAAACAAAACAAAAAAAGACAGAAAACAGTTTACAAACAATAAGGCAGAGGTTTATTTAAACAATATTATTTGATTTTCCTTTTTTCTTTTAGGTGAATAGGAACATGAGACACAATGTGGGTTGAGGGGCTAGAAGGCGGGATGGAGGACAGATGTAGAAATGAGGGAAGGTTACTTAACAGCAGCCTCCAGTTGCTCAGTGTCAGGGAGGAAATACTTTTCCTCTGTCCTGTTCAGTTCAGTACCTGGGGGCCTGCAAATCAAACTGATAAAAGACAGATTAACAGGTGGGCAGGGGGACCTTATTTATATGCATATAGGAGCTTCAAAAAGAAGAAACTCAGTAAGTAGCTAAAGCTAGAAACTTATATGTCCAGCTTAGTAGGGAAAACAGGCGGTGGGGGAAAAGGCCTCTATAGGAAGAATACACGGGTTTCTAGAAGAACAAATGAGAGATGAAGAGTTTGGGATGGTGCTTGTTCATACAGGCCTGAGTGATCTCTGCATCGCATTCATGGCCATAAAACTTCCCTGGAGAGAAGACTTACGGTGGGTTTCTTGATCTTCTCCCTGGGAGTAAAAGCCACCTGTAAGAGGGAAGTACGGCAGCCTCATTTTTCCAGAAATCTCTGCTTTTTGTCAGATAAAGGAAGCACCAAGAAGGCTTCTTTCTGCACCTATTGAATTCTCAGTGGCTTCAGTTTAAAATAAGTTCCATACCAACTCAGGTTCTAAGTGCATCCCCCACATCAGCAACTGCACTCTGGTTTTGTGAGCCTAAGGTCATCACTCCAAATTTGGACTTCAGGGTTTTGTACTTTTCCGGTAATATTTCATGTTTGACTAGAATAAGATTTGTTGCTATCAGATATTTAAAAACAGAACAGTGTATACACAAAAATGCCTTCCTACCTGTAAATAGCATGAGGTACTTCAGTCTGTGTAGGGTTAGGACAGGAAGAAAATAACGTGAGAGCTCGTGAGGCGTAGCTTGACTAGAGGACATTTGGAAGTAGATTATCTCATCCGGTACCTTGGAAGTTTGGTCCTTGACAAGCAGCATTGGGTCTCCTGAAAGCTTTTTAGAAATGCAGACTCTCAGGCCCCCACCCCATACTGACTGAATCAGCATTTGTGTTTTTTAGCATGGTTCCCGGGTAACTTACCACTGCAATTTAAAAGCTCTAATCATGTGTAGTGCGTCTCAATCTTGGAAGCACTTTAGAACTACCTGGGGAGCTTTTTAAAATCCTGATTAAGACTATACTTCTGTCAGAGGTGTCTGAACCAGAGCAACTCCATCTCTAATAGGGGCTGGGTAAAATAAAGCTGAGACCTACTGGGCTACATCCCCAGGAGGTTAGGGCATTTGGTCACAGGATGAAATAGGCCATTGGCACAAGATACAGCTCACAGACTTTGCTGATAAAACTGGTTGCAGTAAAGAAGCCAGCTAAAACCATCAAAACCAAGATGGCAATGAGATTGACTTCTGGTCAGCCTCACTGCTACACTCCTGCCAGCACCATGACTGTTTATAAATGCCACAGCAATGTCAGGAAGTTACCCTATAGGGCCTAAAAAGGGGAGGCATGAATAATCCACCCCTTGTTTAGCATATAATCAAGAAATAACCATAAAAATGGGCAACCAGCAGCCCTTGGGGCTGCTCTATGAAGCAGCTATTCTTTTATTCCTTTACTTTCCTAATTGATAAAATTTGACTGTGTCTCCACCCCAATCTCATCTTGAATTCCCACGTGTTTTGGGAGGGACCTGGTGGGAGGTGATTGAATCATGGGGGCAGGTCTTTCCATGCTATTGTGATGGTGAATAAGTCTCACAAGATCTGATGGTTTTATAAAGGGGAGTTTCCCTGCACAAGCTCTCTCTTTGCCTGCCACCATCCACGTAAGATGTGACTTGCTCCTCCTTGCCTTCTGCCATGATTGTGAGGCTCCCCCAGCCATGTGGAACTGTGAGTCCATTAAGCCTCTTTCCTGTATAAATTACCCAGTCTCAGGTATGTCTTTATCAGCAGCGTGAAAACAGACTAGTACACTAATAAACTTGCTTTCACTTTACAAATGCACCCTAAATTCTTGGGTCTTGTGTAAGATCCAAGAACCCTCTCTGGGGTTCTGGATCAGGAACCCTTTCTGGTAACACTTCCATGCACCACTTCTACAGTTTCTTACCAGAGAGGTTTCTCTGAACTTGTGGAGCAGCGGAAACCACGAGGAGGAGGCTCAGCATTCACTCCTGAGCATGAAGCCGGCTCTTGGTGGTGCTTTTTGGCAGTTGCCTTTTGCCACTGACGATCACTCTTCTCTTCCTTTGGGAGAGTGAAAGGGAAAGGATGCCATCT